TCATCAACAACTTCTGATCTTAGAGAACGTCGCTGTCTAATTTTTAAAAATACATTGATGTTACCATGCTAATACTAATGGGTCGTTTAAAATGACATAATATTTGATTGAGCTGCACGAGTAAAAAAATGTTATTTTAATTTGAGTTACATACCGTACTGTGGCAATTTTTATTTTTTAGTTAGGTCTGGGTTTTGCATAATTACCTAGGCCTAACTACAAAAAATATACGTTTTCTGGGGCGGAAAGCACAGAGAGTAAGGAAAAGCGCGTTTCTCGGGGCGTTTGATCAAATGAAACAGGGTGACAGTTATTTTCAAATTAAGAGAAGAGGCAGCTCTAAAATACTGGATGCCATAAGACCTGCCAAAATGGCAGAGCACCAATGAATGTATAAAGCTACTCTACTACTACTCTAGTAGTAGATTCCAGAATTTATGTAATTTTATGGTATTAATTTACATTGTGTAAATAAAAATGAAAGCAAGAGCTAGCAATTTAACTGTTTTTACTATTATGTTACTAAAACCAACCTGTAGGCCCGGTACGGTACCTTAAGGGGAACTTTATAGACAATGGAGGAATTATAGAACAATTAAAAATTCGACGTTAAGGGAAATAACACAAAAGATATTCCCCCTGGGCTAGTTATTATTTATAGGCCTAGTAAATGGTTCTTCATTACAAGGCTTAGGTCAAGGTAATTAATGCTGAAATTATTATTATTATTATTATTATTATTATTATTATTATTATTATTATTATTATTATTATTTATTATTTAACATTAATTACATTACAAGGATAGTTTGGTCAAGTTCATTAACGCCGCCGAATGGTATGTTTTATTTATTTAATAATATTTCTCTTGCACTCTATTTTTTATTTCATGCTTTAATTTTTTCCATTTTCCCCCCAAAATTTCAATCAACGTCTGTATGTAAAGCGTGACTATTGGTGTCAGCCTAGGACCCTAGGCCTATACTAGGTAGGACTTAACTTAGCCTGTAGTTAGGCCCATAGTTTATCCTCTTTCTCTCTAGCCTCTGGTATTACTGTACCTATCAACACTTTATAAAAGGGGGTACTAGCTGTTGTTGTTGTAGATATTATACTAACATTTAATAAACATCCAAGAAGGTTACAGTTAGTTACACACGTACATCTCATAAATCCGTAAGATATCATAGGCCTACCGTAGGTAAACATAGAAAGTGCAATAATAGTAAAACTCGAGCGTCACGACATTGCGAAATGTCTGCTCTTGTTCCTCGATCGAACTTAGTCGAGTCAATCCGAGATGGCCCGAGTGAAGTTTCATGCAAATGTTTCGTACGGAAAAAAAAATCGCTACCCACGTCAGTGACGTAAAATCGAATACAATGGCTTTAAATTTCCGAAAGTTTATTCTATTATTAATGGCATATCAAAAATCCCATCTAGAAAAAAAGAAAAATTATCTAGTTTTCTTTTAAGATTGAAGAGAATTTAATTTCAGCCCCATCTCACCTTAATATTTTCAGAAAAATGTTACTACCTTCATCCTCATTGACGACAACGACCAGGATGAATACCATTATTATAAGGTCAAAGCAAATATTACAAAACGCAAATTGAAAAATATTCATATTTCACACGTACAATCTAAAACAAAAAAACAAAAAAAAAAACAAAACTATGTGACCATTGGTTTTAGGATATGGGAACCTTATATCTTCATTTTTAATTTGCATATGAATTGTAAATGTGACTATGATGTGATTATAGATTCCTATCCTTGCTATATTTATATGCATTTGAATAATTTGAGACGTAAATGAGTTACGGACATAGTCGCAGACATGCAATTTCAGTGAGTATAAGGTAAAAGGTCAATTATATTATTTCCGATTATTTTGATTTTACAGAAGTTCTATAAGAGCAAATAGAAGCATGCATATTCTGAATAATTTTATAAAAAGAAAGCAACTCTCTGCTCCTTGTGAGCACTAGACGACACGACACCGCCTGCTGATTATCGGTGGCAATCTGAACGAATCGTCATTGAAAATGATCTGTTGCGCGCGTCATCACGTTGTTTTCTTCATAGAGTCGTGTCCGCTGACGATCATCAGGCGCAGTGAGCGCCTGGTTAACAGGGGTGGCATCAGCACGGGGCCGGGGGGTCAGTGCCCCCGTCGGGGACAGCTGCCCCCCCCCCCCGTCGGGGAGAAAAAGCAAAATTCATCGGGGAGAAAAAAATTATATGTATATTCTACAAATTAGTAGACTCTAAAATCGGTTAAATAACCTTTTGAAACCCCTAAATTGTCGAAATTTTCGGAGGCTTCGCCCCCTGAACCACTTTCAAAACCTTTTAATCGAAGCCCGACCACGCCCACTTTGTTTTCGTCGGGGAAGTCTGACCCCTCGTCGGGGACATCCCCGCCCCCCTCGGGGACCTCAGCCCCTCCTTCGGGCAAATCCTGGCGCCACCTCTTTCGGTTAACAGTGCTTATACAACTAATATATACTTTTACGATGTGCTATCGATATCTCGCCATACGATACGAAGACGGATATTTTGCTAATTTTTCATACACACAAAAACAAATATGTGTCAATTTATATTGTGTTTGTGGAAGCATTTAGTAATGAATTAATAATATTTTGAATGTTATAATTATATATGTATCACATATTCGATATATTTTGTTTAAAAATACAACAAAATGCTATATGTAATCCAATGAGTATGATAAAGAACCGTATTATGATTTTGTAAACTAGATACCGTTTCACGCATAAGCACTGTATAATTACTGAAGCAGTCACTCTATAGAGTGCACCTCCGTCATGTTCCTGAATACAGCACGAACAAACGCAGGCCGATGATGGGCAAACTTCATCATACCCTAAATGAGGAATCACACATAATTTTCCTGAGTGCTGCTGCCTACCCTCACGAAAACAATGGAATCGCCCGCTGTATGCAGGCACATTATTTTTCTGTATGCTGGCAGAATATGAGGGGCGATTCCATTAATTTATTTATGATCGCGGGTAAAAATTGAATTTGTTCTTGTCCTTTGACCTTTTCCTCTTTGATTGTAACATTCCACTAAATTTTATGATGATCCATTCATTCATCCATTCATTTATGATTTATTTATCCATTCATTAGTATTTGCTTAATTCTTGCTAACAGACAGGCAGAAAGACAGACAGACAGATAGCAGTGAATGCATAATAATTATTTATTTAATATCAATTTATTGCAAACAACAATAAGGAAACGTAAAATACAATCCTAGATATGGCCCAGATGAGGCACACGTTTTTCGCATAATATATACTAAAGGAAGAGATTATGGCAAGTTTAGAAATATTGTCACGGAATTTTTTAAAATTAATTGGGTTATTGCACATTTTCAAAAATTGATTTAAATGTTTTTATATTGCGGGGAGAAATATATCCACGAGAACCCACCTCAAAGCAAATCACATCATAGCCGGAGTCTCTAATGTCCCAAATCAGAGGTGCATACTTGTTATATTTCCGAGAATGGGCCAGATCAATACCCAGTTCGAAAGGAACCGTCAACTCGAAAATGACAAGTATTCCTTCCAGAACAGACAGAGGTCTGGGATCAGAGTTGTCGTTGCACACTCCAAGGGGATGGTTGAACGGGTGTTATGATTAGTGACTCCGGCCTCGAGATCAGATTTGATTTTTGGAGGGTTGCTCGTTTCGTCAAAGCCTTTCGTTAAAATATTAACAATATAATCTAAAATAGTATTATGCCTCTACGTGAGTCGGCCCTGGTCCAGGGACTGTTTACAGTTGTTAAGGACGTGGTGTAAAGTTTCGCGATTTCCACATGCCTTACACAAATCGGAGGTGAGTTTGCCCCAACGTTTTAAGTTAAGTTAGTGCGTGTGTTAAGGGTGTCGCCAAGAGAATTTACGAGGAACTTTAGCACACCCACTGGAAGATTATAAATTATACCGGTACTCTTCCAGTGGTGGCATGACTGTTCCAGCGAAAGAAGGTCAAAGAAACGTCCCTGGACCAGGAGTCCTCTCACGTGGTCATTCCACATCGTTTGCACCTCATTCTTTAATTTCTTTTTGGCATTATTTTTTAAAATTGTAAGAGAGGCTTCAGGATCTTTCTCCTTTGCTTCGATAAACCTTTGCTCACATTCCCTCGAGATAGAGATCTTTTTGGTTAATGTACTTTCTCGAGCGATTCGACTGTCCACACATTTGTTAACAGTTTGATCACCTTTCAATCTCGAGGAGATATGAGCAGTGAGGTGACACTCTTTATATAAAGAAGAAATCGAATCTACGCCCAGTCCTTTAGGCATTTTGACGAAAGCCAGTGTGCCAGGATGGGGATGCCAAGCCACTTCTTGAAGTAAATGTTTCATCGCCTATGCAAAATTGCACTTCTTCTCTACGTTTTAACATCAGTGTTATTGTATATTCTACTGCAAATGCCGTCCTATGTATAGGACCCTTCCTTGGATATTCGGACAGTTTTTTATTACAATCCTATTGGTGTTTTATAATATGTCGCTCTTATATAGCGCTTCATGCACAATGCCTCTAAGCGCTTCACATTGCTATCCCGGTCATTGCATCAAACACATATGGAACACAGTCAACAGCAAATTAAATTATTAAATTAAATTATATTATTATTCCATAATATTGCAGCTAGTAATCAGTGCAGTTGTGTTGGAACCTACCAGGTACCCACTTGTACTCCTGGGTGAGAGAGGCAACCGTAGATAAAGTGCCCTGCCCAAGGACACAAGCGGTTTGCACAGCGAGTTTTAAACCCCCGACATAACCTCTTAGGTGGAGGTGAAAATGAGGAACAGTCTATGGCTTTATTTCAAGAGTATCAACATACAGTCTTATGCTCAGCGTAAGAATTTATCATTCAAATAATGTTTCAGCTAATCAATATCGAAAAATAAATTTCATTTTTTGCAGGTAGCAAATAAAATATAAGCTTCTTTACCTGTCACCTAAGTACGTTGTGAAAATGAACCGGAGACCGAAAGATTTGAACCAACTAGACCTACAACCAGGTGATATATTATCAGTCCCGTGTCGTGGTTATCTAGCGTGGCATTTTGGTGAGGTGTTGTTTCTACTTTTTAAATTAAATACATCGATTCCTTTTTTAGTTCCTATGCATGCAATGCAATAGGAACTATTGTAATCACTCTTCTTTTTCCATTGTTTCTTATTGTGTGTAGTATGTCTGTGCGTGTGTGTGTAGACATTTATGCAAATGCGCATGCGTCAAAGAAAAGTTTTCCGACATTTTGTTTTACCTCGCGATGCGACGTTCGATGTGAAGTTTCTGCAGAGTTCAGTCAAGGCTCACGCTAACCGATCGGCAAGTCGGCATGGATGAAACTATTTTGGTTTTTCGGCAAAAAAAATCAACTGCTGTGGCATAGGTATTTTGAAGAAGGCCTAAAATAAAACAAAAAGGTTTTAATACTTGCTGAAATACATCGTTTTTTCATTTAGACCTCCATTTTTCACTAACTCCATGCGACGTTTTTTTTCCCTGTTGTATGAGTAGTCATATGCAGGTACTATATCCCCGACTGTTGGCTATGCAGCAATGTACCCTTTGAATGCAAATTGAAGACAAGTGAAGATATAAAGGCAGCCGACTGTCGTGTACATCGACTATCTAAATTTCCACAAAAACATTAGGCCTAAGCCTAGGCCTAGTTCAGTACAGTAGTTACTGCGATGCGAGAGTGGTGCATCGTTCAGTCAGTGATATCGTGTTATCGTCTAATACATTTTAATATTAATGTGTGTAAAATTTAAGAATGCACCGCCTGGGTCGCTTTCTTAAATTTGTTATGCGGTAGTAGTATACGTAGCAGAGCGACGGCAGCAATCTAAGCCTAGCCTAGGGCCTAAATAATATACGTTCTTGATCATCGTAATGAAAACTTCGGGTGACAGACGATTGGGCCCAACTGGTATGGACGATCGGACCCAAGATAGCTTCAAATAAATTGTAGTCCTAGTAGGCCACTGCCACCACCCCCACTCCTGATATCGTTCCAAACTACTGTAAAATGAAATTACTGCATACTTAGCTAGGCCTAGGCCCTATGCCTACGAAATTTTTAAAAAGAAATTTGCTAAAAATATTACTGTAATTTGCCTGTCGAATTACATTACCAGTGTGGTCTAAAATCACTATTTTGGGCCATAAAGACTCCCCCTGTATTTTTCAACCTCCACACAAATTTGACC